GACATTTACGACATACCTCAATTCTAGTTGAATTACATTATTTGCCACAAATATAATCATTTGTAACTAAAATAAGAGCTTTCGAAGTCATTCGAATGTGTTTTAGACGTTTTATACAGGTTTACGACAACTTTTTACAAATCATACTTTTCCAAAAGTGATACCCATTGCTTATAAAACTCTCATTAATAATGCTAATCTAGATTTTATCACACATACCTATGTTAGATTACGTCTGTTAGGTTTTAGACACATTTTACAGGTTTTTGACATTTACGACATACCTCAATTCTAGTCGAATTAAATTAATTGCAACAAATATAAGCATTTGTAACTAAAATTAGGCCATTCCAAGTCACTTAAACGTGTTTTAGACGTTTTATACAGGTTTACGACAACTTTTTACAAAGCATACTGTTCCAAAAGTGATACCCATTATTTATTAAGCTCTTATATTTAATGCTAAATCAGATTTTACCACACATACCTATATTTGATTACGTCTATTGAGTTTTAGACATTTTATACAGGGTTTTTGACGTATTTTACATCCATCAATTCTAGTTGAATTACATTAATTGCAATATATATAATCTTTTGCAACAAAAATTAGGGCATTCCACGTTATTTCAATAGGTTTTAGACATTTTATACAGGTTTACGACAATTTTTTACAACACATACTCTTCCGATTGTGATACCCATTGTTTATAAAACTGTCATTAATAATGCTGATTCAGATTTTACCACATTAACCAATGTTGGATTACATCTATTAAGTTTTAGACATTTTATACAGGTTTTTGACATATTCGACATCCATCAATTCTAGTTGAATTACATAAATTGCAACATACATAATCTTTTGCAACAAAAATTAGGGCATTTCGAGTCATTTCAATAAGTTTTAGACATTTTATACAGGTTTACGACAAATTTTTGACAATGTATACTAAACTGAAAAATAAAATGTTTTGCTTTTACAATCCTCATAATCAATGCTGAGTTAGTTTTTATGACACAGACGTCTGTTCGATTACGTCTGTTAGGTTTTAGACACATTTTACAGGTTTTGTGACATTTTCGACATACTGCAATTCTAGTTGAATTACATTAATAGCAACATATATAATCATTTGCAATTGACATTAGGCAATTCAAAGTCATATTTATGCGTTTTCGACATTTCATACAAGTTTACGACAACTTTTTACAAAGCTATTACTATTCCAAAAGTAACACTTACCCTTTATAAAGCCCTCATCGTTATTGCTGACTTAGATTTTACAACACAGACATATGTTAGATTACCTCTTTAGGGTTTTTGACATTTTATACAAGTTTTTGACATTTGATAAATGCTTAAAATACGTTTGAATTGTAATTATTGTAACAAAACTATTCGTCGGTAGGCAAAATTATTTTTTCCAAGTTATCGTAATTTGTTTTACACATTTTATAAAGGTTTTTGACGTTTTATACAGGTTTGTGACATTTCGTACACAAATTGCTGTATCGGTTACGACATAAAACAAGCATGTATTTCCCGGAAATAAATTATGGGTCAAATTAAAAATATGTAGAAATAATTTACATAAAGTTTATGGGGTTTTTGACAATTTTATACAGGTTTACGACATTTTAGACAATAGGTATTATAACATTTTTTTACCAAAATCAACTTAAAATGCCATAATTTATATTAAAATATAATTATTTGGTGATTTCAAAGTTTTTTACAGGTTTTTGACATTTTGACAGCTCGATGTCGTAAACGTCAAAAACTGTATTTTCACGTTTTACGACATTCTAAAGCGTTTTATGGGGTTTTTGAGATTTTGAAATTGTTTACCATGTCGTAAACGTATAAAACTCCAACATTTTGGTAAAAATTTACTGGGATGGGGAAAAATGTACTCTTTTCTTCATATTTATGTACAACGACAACAATTAGCTTCCGAAAATCTGCCTAAAATGGTCCAGAGAAGAAACTCACTTTAAGAAATCATGACAATTTTTCAATTAAAGTTTCAGAGAAAAGTTTTTCAATGGAAATGTTTTGAAGCAGTCCAAGTCCTAAAATCATTGAAATTGGGGCAATTTTTTATGTCTTTATGACTTTTTGACATTTTATACATGTTTACGAAATTTTTGACAAAAGGTATTGTAAAATTTTTGAACAAAATAAGTTTAGAATGCCATAATTTTTAATGGTATGCAATTATTTGGCAATTTCAAAGTTTTTTACAGGTTTTTGACATTTTGACAACTCGTTGTCATAAACGTCAAAAACTGTATTTTCACGTTTTTCGACTTTCTAAAGCGTTTCATGAGGTTTTTGAGATTTTGAAAATTTTTACCATGTCGTAAACGTATAAAACTCCGAAATTTTGGTAAAAAGTTAGTGAAATGGGAAAATATGTACTCTTTTCTTCATGTTTCATTATCAAAGCAACGATTAGCTTCCGAAAATCTGCCTAAAATCGTCCATAGAAGAAACTAACTTTTTCTTAATCATCACAAATCATTTAAGTCCGAGAATCATTGAAATTGTGGCAATTTTATGACTTTTTCGCATTTTATACATGTATACGACATTTTTGACAATGGGTATTATGAAATTTTTGACCAAAATAAGTTTAGAATGCCATAATTTTTATTGAGATGCAATTATTTGGCGATTTTGAAGTTTTTTACAGGTTTTTGACATTTTGACAACTCGTTGTCGTAAACGTCAAAAACTGTATTTTCACGTTTTACGACATTCTAAAGGGTTTTGTAAGGTTTTTGAGATTTTGAAATTTTTTACCATGTCGTAAATGTATAAAACTCCAAGATTTTGGTAAAAAGTTACTGAAATGGGAAAATATGTACTCTTTTCTTCACGTTTCATTATCAAGGCAACGATTAACTTCTGAAAATCTGCCTAAAATAGTCCAGAGAAGAAACTCACTTTTAAGAAATCATGACAATTTTCCAAAAAATTCGAATTAATTTGTTTTCAATTAAAGTCTCAGAGAAAAGTTTTTCAATAAAAATCTTTTGAAGCAGTCTAAGTCCTAAAATCATTGAAATTGTGGCATTTTTTATGACTTTTTGACATTTTATACAGGTTTACGACATTTTTGACAATGGGTATTATAAGATTTTTGACCACAATAAACTTAAAATGCCATAATTTTTAATGAAATGCAATTATTTGGCGATTTCAAAGTTTTTTACAGGTTTTTGACATTTTGACAACTCGTTGTCGTAAACGTCAAAAACTGTATTTTTACGTTTTTCGACATTCTAACACGTTTTATGAGGTTTTTCAGATTTTGAAATTTTTTACCATGTCGTAAACGTATAAAACTCCAACATTTTGGTAAAAAGTTAATGAAATGGGAAAATATGTACTCTTTTCTTAAAGTTTCATTATCAAGGCAACGATTGGCTTCTGAAAATCTGCCTAAAATGGTGCAGTGAAAAAAACTCATTTTTAGGAAATCAGGCCAAATATCCAAGGAATTCAATTTAAGACAAATTTTTCAATTGAAGCTGAACTCAGGGTCTTTGAGAGAATTAAAAAAAAAATCTGCCTAAAATGGTGTAGTGAAAAAAACTCATTTTTAGGAAATCAGGTCAATTATCCAAGGAATTCAATTTAAGACACATTTTTCAATTAAAGCTAAACTCATGGTCTTTGAGAGAATTAAAAAAAAACTTATGAAAATTTTTCTCAAAAAAAAAAAAAAAAAAAAAAAATCGGGAAATATGTACGTCATTCATAAAACTCTCAGGGAAATATATCAGTCATAAATACATAAAAAATATTTATATAAGAATTTTACAGTTGATTTTATTTTAAAATTCCTTATAAAGACATTTTTACAATTTTTTTCCCTTTTAAAAATAGTTTTAACAGTAATTTTAAAAATTTCGGAAGCTCGTTTGTATTGAACTCATATTGTCATATGAATTTTATATATTTCATAGCCATAATTTGTAAGATATCTTAAAGTTATCATGGAGTTATAAAAACTTGTAAAAATGGGAGAGCAGATGGGGATTTTTAGGAAAGATCTGAAAAAAATATTTTTTGAGAGAATGTGAAGATAATATTCATAGCATAAATGGTATGCTTTCCACACATCTCTCGCTCTCTCTCTCTCTCTTTCCTTCCCTGAGAAAAGAAAATTTAATATTTATAGCATAAATGTTATAATTTCCACATATCTCTCGCTCTCTCTCTTTTTTCTTCTCTGAAAAACTAAACTTTAATGCAGGCCTGGAAAGAGAGTTGCTCTTTTAGGTTCTCCCAAATTTGTTACTCTCTGATCACATTGTGTTTAAATCAGCCTTGCTCACAATATATGTATTTGTAGTGGCAAGAGACACTCTCACTCACTCTCAAATGTAAAATGAGAGAGAATACGTATGTTTTGTTCATACTTTTTCGTTTGAAGCTGCTCTGTGCTGTTTTAAATTGTTCTGATTGTGAGTCTGGGGAGAATTACGCTCATCGAAGACTCAAGTGCCTGCATTTGCCTGGCCCTGCTCTAAAGTTTAAAACTTGCCGCCAATGGAGATTTCTCCACAAAATCATCTCATTTTTACGTGTTTTTTATATATTCCTCTAGTCGTGATATTTCGAATAAAATTTTTAAAAATCAATAAATATTTTCTTGTAAGTTTGGAGAGTAGTTTGTAAGTTCAATTGTTTTATATTAAATGAAAAATATTTTATAACTAAGTTTGTTACTGATGTTGATGTTTTTCTAAGTCTGAAATATATTTTTTCCTTTATTTTAGTTTCCATATGAGCTAATATTTTTTATATTTTTATTTCATATTTTATTTTATAATTTTCTAATATTTATAAATATTATTACTATAAACTAAAACCTACCAGAAACCAAAAAAAAAATAACTTTACAACCAAAACAAATTATGTGTACTGTGTATTTGTTAAACCAAAAAAACAAAAAACAAACAACGATTACAAAATTCGTTTTTAGGGTGATATTCACCGGAATCTACACATTTGAATCAGCTGTTAAAGTGATGGCACGAGGTTTCATTTTATGCCCGTTTACGTATCTTAGAGATGCATGGAATTGGCTGGACTTCGTAGTAATAGCTTTAGCGTGAGTTTAATTATTATTAAAGAAATTAATGTTTTATTATTTTCAGTTTTTTTTTTATTAATTTCCAATACGTTTTTATTTAATTTTAATTTCACCTAACAAAAAACAACAGACTAAACACTACATAATCACCTCAGGCTCTGATGAGCTTACATTGATCTTTTTTTTCTGTTAGCCATAACAACAAATCTACAAAAAAAAAAAAAAAACAAAAACACTTGCCAAACAACAACAAAAAATTAGAAAATCAAACATTTCAATGGAAATTTGTTTATAAATAAATACAAAGTAAATATTTCTCCCCCTCAGTCCCATAAACCCCCCAACCCCACTCATTTTCTTCTATATTTACATTAATTTAAATAATTGTCCAGTAATTTTTGTTAACATATCAATATATCATAGTCAACAATCCCATACTTCCAATGGTACTCTGTTTCCCCCCTTCCTCCCCCCCATCATTAAAACATATCTTGGAATATCTATATATATTCGTATATAATCCTTAGTTAAATGTATTCTCATACAGCAAAAAAAAAAAAAAAACAATGAAACAGTTACTCTCTTTCCCCATTTCCTTTTACTCGTAACTCGTATAACCAGCAGCAAAGAAAGTAGTTTTTGTTTTAAACAGAAAATTTGTATTAAAAAAAAACCAACATTACCATTAAACTCAGTTCATATATAATCGCCTTTAAAAATTTATATATATATATTTGCCATATATAAACAAATATTTATATACGTAATTACATACATATATCTAATCTCACTATATCATAGTTAATAATTTTTTATTTTTTTTCAATTTTTTTTTAACAAAAAATATTTTTTTCGACATTCTTTCAGCATTCAAACATAATCAGAAAAAATGAAACGAGGGTTGTGTGATAAATGGAATTTGGGGCATACAGGTGCTCAACTCAAAATAAATCATCAAATAACAAAACTCAAGGGTTTTCTACCTTATATACAGTTTTTTGACATTTTCGACAGACCTATAAAATACATGATTGTTTAATTCAAATATTTATAATATCATAAGTGTCATACACATTTACGACCTTTTATACAGGTTTTTGACATTTTTGACAAACCTAAAAATGATGTGCCTTCACAAGAAATCAATCTGCCAACCTATTCAACTAAATTTTTAGTAATTTTGGGCATATTTTACATGTTTACGACGTTTTATACAGGTTTTTGACATTTTTGACAAACCTTAAATTGCCATTCCCTAACAGAAAATCAAACTTCCAACAAGTTGAACTTAATTTTTTGTGGTTTTGAACATTTTATACATGTTTACGACATTTTATACAGGTTTTCGACATTTTTGACAAACCTAAAATTCACATTCCTTTACAGGAAATTTATCTCCAAACCTATTTAACTAAATTTTTAGTAGTCTTGGACATTTTATACATGTTTACGACATGTTATACAGGTTTTTGACATTATTGACAAGTCCAAAATTAACGTCCTTCACTGGAAATTGATCTTCCAACAAGTTGAACATCATTTTTAGTGGTTTTGAACATTTTATACATGTTTAAGACCTTTTATACAGTTTTTTTGACATTTTTGACAAACCTTAAATTGGCATTTTTTCATAGGAAATCAAATTTCCAACATGTTGAACTTAATTTTCAGTAATTTTGAGCCTTTTTTACATGTTTACAATCTTTTATACAAGTTTTTGACATTTTTGACAAATCTAAAACTGGCGATCCTTCACAGGAAATTTATCTGCCAACCAATTTAACTAAATTTTTGGTAGTCTTCAACATTTTATACACGTTTAAGACCTTTTATACAGGTTTTTGACATATTTGACAAACCTAAAATTGATGTTCCTTCACTGGAATTCAAACTTCCAATAAGTTGAACTTCATTTTTTGTGGTTTTGAACATTTTATACCTGTTTTCGACATTTTATACAGGTTTTTGACAGTTTTTTTACAGGTTTACGACATTTATACATTTGGTCTTAAGGGTGAATTTTTCAAAAAAATGTTTCCATAACCGAGTTGATATACATTTCTGTGAGTTTGCCAGGCCTTCTAGGTTTTATACAGGTTTTTGACATTTACGACATTTGTACTTTTTGAGTTTCGTGAATGTAAAATGATAATTTTTGTTGCCAAAAGTGTATTTGCACTTAAATGAAAATCATTTTACGCTTACACCATTTGTGAACAAATATTTCAAGTTTTTGACAGGTTTACGACATTTATACATTTGGCCTTAAAGGCGATTTTTCCAACAAAACCTTCCTCTATACGAATTGTTGAACATTTTTGTTAAGTTGCAAGGCCTTCTAGGTTTTATACAGGTTTTTGACATTTACGACATTTGTACTTTTTGAGTTTCGTGAATGTAAAATAATAATTTTTGTTGCCAAAACTGTATCTGCACTTAAATGAAAATCATTTCAGGTTTACATCCTTTTAAAAAAAATATATTATGAGTTTTTGACAGGTTTACGACATTTATACATTTGGTCTTAAAGGCGATTTTTCCAACAAAACTTTCCTCTATCCGAATTGATAAAAATTTTTGTGAAGTTACAATGCCTTCTGAGTTTTATACAAGTTTTTGACATTTACGACATTTGTACCTTTTGAGATTCTCAAATATAAATAGATAATTTTTGGTCCTAGAAGTAATTTTGCACTTAAATGAATATAATTTCAGATTTACACCCTTTATGAACAGGTATATGGAGTGTTTGGCCGTTTTTTACAGGTTTACGACATTTATACATTTGGTCTTAAACGCGATTTTTCCAACAAAACCTTCCTCTATACGAATTGGTAAACATTTTTGTGAAGTTGCAAGACCTTCTAGGTTTTATACAGGTTTTTGACATTTACGACATTTGTACTTTTTGAGTTTCGTGAATGTAAAATGATAATTTTTGTTGCCAAAAGTATATCTGCACTTAAATGAAAATCATTTCAGGTTTACAACCTTTTTTAAAAAAATATTATGAGTTTTTGACAGGTTTACGACATTTATACATTTGGTCTTAAAGGCGATTTTTTCAAAAAAACTTTCCTCTATCCGAACTGATATACATTTCTGTGAATTTCAAGGGCCCTCTAGGTTTTATACAAGTTTTTGACATTTACGACATTTGTACTTTTTGAGTTTAGTGAATGTAAAATGATAATTTTTGTTGCCAAAAGTATATCTGCACTTAAATGAAAATCATTTCAGGTTTACAACCTTTTTTAAAAAAATATTATGAGTTTTTGACAGGTTTACGACATTTATACATTTGGTCTTAAAGGCGATTTTTGCAACAAAACCTTCCTCTATTCGAATTGATAAACATTTTTGTGAAGTTACAAGGCCTTCTAGGTTTTATACAGGTTTTTGACATTTACGACATTTGTACATTTTGAGATTCGTAAATGTAAAATGATAATTTTTATTGTCAAAAGTATATCTGCACTTAAAAGAAAGTCATTTCAGATTTACAACCTTATACTAAAAAATAGTATGAGTTTTTGACAGGTTTACGACATTTATACATTTGGCCTTAAAGGCGATTTTTCCAACAAAACCTTCCTCTATTCGAATTGTTGAACATTTTTGTGAAGTTGCAAGGCCTTCCAGGTTTTATACAGGATTTTGACATTTACGACATTTGTACTTTTTGAGTTTCGTAAATGTAAATTGATAAATTTTTGGCACTAGAAGTATACTTACACCTAATTGAAAATCATTTCAGGTTTACAACCTTTTTAAAAAAATATTATGAGTTTTTGACAGGTTTACGACATTTATACATTTGGTCTTAAAGGCAATTTTTTCAAAAAACCCTTCCTCTATCCGAATTGATAAACATTTTTGTGAATTTGCTAAGCCTTCTTGGTTTTATACAAGTTTTTGACATTTACGACATTTGTACTTTTTGAGTTTCGTAAATGTAAGGGATAATTTTTGGCACTAGAAGTATATTTACACTTAAATGAACATCATTTCACCCTTTATGAACAAATATTACGAGTTTTTGACAGTTTTTTACAGGTTTACGACATTTATACATTTGGTCGTAAAGGCAATTTTTCCTACAAAACCTTCCTCTATACGAATTGTTGAACATTTTTGTGAAGTTGCAAGGCCTTCTAGGTTTTATACAGGTTTTTGACATTTTCGACATTCGTACTTTTTGAGTTTCGTAAATGTAAAATGATAATTTTTGTTGCCAAAAGTGTATCTGCACTTAAATGAAAATCATTTCAGGTTTACAACCTTTTTTAAATAAATATTATGAGTTTTTGACAGGTTTACGACATTTATACATTTGTTCTTAAAGGCGATTTTTCCAACAAAACCTTCCTCTATACGAATTGTTGAACATTTTTGTGAAGTTGCAATGCCTTCTAGGTTTTATACAGGTTTTTGACATTTACGACATTTATACCTTTTGACTGTCGTAAAGGTAAACAGGTTTACTTGGGCTTTTACGAGCTTTTCTCCCAATATTTTTCATATTTTACACCTCTACGCCCATTTGGAAGGTTGTAAAGGGAGGGTCTTCTCCCTTATGACGCCTTATCACACCACCCTCGTTTATCGCACGTCATCCAACCGCTATCATTCATACTAATCAACTAACATCGATTTTGATTTCGAATATTTTTTTTAATATTTTTTTATTTATTTAATTAGTTAATTAATTGAAACGAAATTGTCTTTTTGTATAAAAGTATGAAACCTATGATTTGTATGATAGCAATTGAAAATTGTTGTGTGTATTAATCTCTTTTTATTTTTCTTTTGGAAAACAAAAAACCCTCCAAACCAAAAACAAATCCACACGAACATCCTCTACACCAAACTCATCATCCAACAACAACAACAAACTATTCCAAAACACCTCTCTCTCTCTAAACCAAAAAAATCGAAACCCTTGCACCACCATCACAGTTATGTGACCATGGGCATAGATTTAGGTAATCTCGCAGCTTTGAGAACATTTAGGGTACTGCGAGCTCTGAAAACCGTAGCCATTGTGCCAGGTAAAGAAGAAGAATAACTCTCTTTGTTTTTCTTGTCATTTGATTTTGAAAATATTTTTGAAAATTAATTTTGAATTTTTCTATTTTGAAACTCAGGTCTAAAAACCATTGTCGGTGCTGTCATTGAATCTGTAAAAAATCTACGCGATGTGATAATTTTGACAATGTTTTCCCTGTCGGTGTTCGCGCTGATGGGCCTACAAATCTATATGGGTGTTCTAACACAAAAGTGCATTAAACGATTCCCCCTGGACGGCAGTTGGGGCAATCTGACCGATGAAAACTGGTTTCTACACAATAGCAACAGTTCCAATTGGTTTACGGAGAACGATGGCGAGTCATATCCGGTGTGCGGGAATGTATCCGGTGCGGGGTGAGTAAAAACCATTTTTAGAGAATTTTTAAGAACAGGACCCTAGGGAAGACCTCTTTTTCAATGAAGAGCCCTAAGGGGTGCTTTATCAAATAAAGGAGCCTTTAAGGGTCCTGTACTTAATATAAGATGCTTATGACCCTTAAACTTCCAACAAATGTCATTTTCTCTAAAGAAGACACTTTCAGGGATCCTATCTTCCAGGGAAGACCTTTTAAGGCCTTCTCTCGAAGAGAAGACCGTCTCAAGAATGCTATATTCTAGAGATGACCACTCGAAGAATTCCCTCTTCCCGGGGAAGTCACTCAAATTGTTTTCTCTTTCAAATAAATCCCTTTAAACTGGCGAAGCTTCTAGACAAGACCCTGTAATTGTTCTCTCTTCTAGAGTAGGCCCTTCCAAAAGACCTTTCTCATAGAGAAACTATCTAAGGGTCTTCTCTTCTATGGAAGACAATGGTCCTGTCTTCAAGAGAAAATCCTTCTAAGGGTGATCTATTCAGGAAGGAATTTCTATAAAAACTCTCTTCCAGTTAGGCCCTTCAAAGAATTCTCTCTTCAAGAGAATGTAATTATAAGGATCCTCTCTTCAAGAGATGGCCTTTATAAGGCTCCTCTCTTCAAGAGATGGCCCTTCTAAGGTCCCTCTCTTCTAGAGAAGACCCTGTAAATGTCCTATATTCTAGAGTAGACCCTGTAAAGTTCCTCTCTTCTAGAGTAGACTTCTATAAAGGATTCTCTAAGACCCTATCTTGTTCGGAAGAGTCTTTAAGGTTCCCCTCTTTTAGAGAAGACCGTCTAAGAGTCCTCTGTCTTATAGAAGTCCGCTCAATGGCCCTGTCTTCAAGATAAAACCCTTCTAAGGGTGCTCACTTCAAGAAAAGGAACTTCTATAGGCCCTCTTTTCTAGTTAGGCCCTTCAAAGGGTTCTCTCTTCAAGGGATGGCCCTTTTAAGGATCCTCTCTTCAAGAGAAGGCCCTTTTAAGGATCCTCTCTTCAAGAGAAGGCCCTTCTAAAGGTCCTCTCTTCTAGAGAAGACCTTGTAAAGGCCCTCTCTTCTAGAGTAGACTTTCTTAACTGCTTTCTTAATGGTCCTGTCTTCAAGAGAAAACCCTTCTAAGGGTCCTCAATTCAAGAGAAGGAACTTCTACAGGCCCTCTATTCTAGTTAAGCCATTCAGACGATTCTCTCTTCAAGAGAAGGCCATTCTATGGGTCTTCTATTCAAGAGAAGGCCCTTCTAAAGGTCCTCTCTTCTAGAGAAGACCCTGTAAAGGCCCTCTCTTCTAGAGTACAAGTTTTTAAGTGCCCTCTCTTCTATAAAGGACTCTCTTAGGTCCTATCTTGCCCGGAAGAGTCTTTAAGGTTCCGTTGTTTTAGAGAAGACGGTCTAGGAGTCCTCCTCTCTTCAAGGGGAAGCCATTCGAAGAATCTTTCTTCAAGAGATAGCCCTTTTTAAGGTCCTCTATTCAAGAGATAGCCCTTTTTAAGGTCCTCTATTCAAGAGATAGCCCTTTTTAAGGTCCTCTCTTCAAGAGAAAGCCATTCTAAGGGTCCTCTCTTCTGGATAAGGCCATTCTAAGGGTCTGTCTTCAAAAGATGGCCCTTCTCTCTTCAAGGGGAAGCCATTCGAAGAACCTCTCTTCAAGAGATAGCCCTTTTTAAGGTCCTCTCTTCAAGAGAAAGCCATTCTAAGGCTCCTCTCTTCCAGAGATTGCCCTTCCTAGGGTCCTCTCTTCAAGAGAAGGCCCTAATAAAGATCCTCTCTTCTGGATAAAGCCCTTCTAAGGGCTTGTCTTCAAGATGGCCCTTGTAAGGGTCCTCTCTTCAAGAGAAAGCATAATATTTTCTAGAGAATGAATTCTCTTTTGAAAATTTTTAACTTTAACTCACTAATGTTTCACTCTTTGTTTTCTTACTCTTTTTTCTCTTTTTCACTTTCTCTCTCTCCTCTCTCCTTCCCACAGACAATGCGGCGAAGATTACGTCTGCCTGCAGGGCTTCGGCCCCAATCCCAACTACGACTACACCAGTTTCGATTCATTCGGTTGGGCTTTCCTGTCGGCGTTTCGTCTCATGACCCAAGATTTCTGGGAGGATCTGTATCAGCACGTGCTGCAAGCAGCTGGACCCTGGCACATGTTGTTCTTTATAGTCATCATCTTCCTAGGTTCATTCTATCTTGTGAATTTGATTTTGGCCATTGTTGCCATGTCTTATGACGAATTGCAAAAGAAGGCCGAAGAAGAAGAGGCTGCCGAGGAGGAGGCGATACGAGTAAGTACAAGCGTTGCGTGCTGCGCAGCTGCAGTCAGCTTTTGTTCGGTGGCTACAGCTGCCATGGCTGCTTTATCGGTTGGCAGATATTATCAATTTCAATTTTGGTTTGGTCTGTGCAAAATTCAAATTGATAATATCTGAAAAGCAAAGCATAAAAAAAAACGAGAGAGGAAACCCCCACTTCCGGAGATCTCCCTCCATAACCGATGCCATGATGACACGATACGCAGGGGGCACCCTGTATGTTGTCGTCGTCTTGAATTGTCTTGAACTTGACTTGATGTGATTTGTTCTGAAATGTGTTCTTTTGAAGATTGTCGTTCCTGTTCTTCTTTTTTTTTTTGTAATTTATTTTGGTACTGTGTGGCCGGGATGGCGCACTCCATCTCCAAGCATTTGGATGGATTGTACGATCTCTTCTGTATTTGAATATTCTATTTTATATTTTTTTTTATAGCCTAACAACATGACATTCGTATACTTCGTTTTTAGTTCTACTAACAACAAAAAAATTTTGAGTTTTTTTCAAACCAACAAACAAACAACAACAAAAAACACAAGATGAAACTTAGTAACCTGCGAGATTTGTTAATGGAATGGCTGTTTAGAAAATTAAAAAAAAAATCGAAATTATTTTTTGGCTTTTTTTCCTAAAGGACCTGAGTTGAAATTCTGTAACCCAATGCCACTACGTTAATGTCGTTGTAGTTCGATTTTTTCTGTTACGCTTATTGGTCTTAGTTAAGCTCTCCTACCACATGTCTACTAATCACCGTTCTCTTGAAATTATTCTCTCTCTCTCTCTATCTCGCGCTCTCTAAATTGCCAACCGCAAATTTGTAGGAAGCTGAAGAAGCGGCAGCAGCCAAGGCGGCCAAACTGGAGGAGCGGGCCAATGTAGCAGCTCAAGCGGCTCAGGATGCAGCGGATGCCGCTGCGGCAGCTCTGCATCCCGAGATGGCAAAGAGTCCCACGTACTCTTGCATTAGCTATGAACTGTTTGTTGGCGGCGAGAAGGGCAACGATGACAACAACAAAGAGAAGATGTCGATACGCAGCGTCGAAGTGGAATCGGAGTCGGTGAGCGTTATACAAAGACAACCAGCACCTACCACAGCACCCGCTACTAAAGTCCGTAAAGTTAGCACGGTAAGTACAACGCAGCTGGCTAATGTGCTTTCAAAGTTTTCATTCTACTACTACTACTACTACTACTCCTCCTCTAATAACTACTTCACCACTTACTTCTGCTACTCCTACTCTTATACAAAAAAACAACAACAACAACTACTACTTCTTGAACTACAGCTGTTACAAGAACTTCTACTACAACTATCACTACTCTACTACATACATACATACATACTTACCCAAAGAGAATTTTAACCACCCATACCATTACTCAGTTACTTCCAAAACACTTCCTCCCTCCCCCACCATCCACCACTCAAAACTAGTTTTCCACCCAAGAAGTTTTTTTTTTTAATTTTTTTTTTTGTATTCTAGATCCTTAATTTGAGTTATGTTTTGTAGAAACTATTGTCTCTTCTTAATATAAGAGATAGGGAAATATTCCTGCAGAGAAAAAATCTCTCTCTAAGAGATCTTTAGGGCATAAGAGATTAAAAATAGGTACATTTTCGTTACATAAGATATCTATAGAAATAGTAAGAGACCTTTGGAGGGCCTTTCTCTTAAGAGAGTTTCATTATTAAAGGATCTGAAGAAAAAGCTCTCTCTCTAAACGAGATCTCTTCGAATTACAAATCTGTAATACATTATAAGAAGCAGGGGAAGATTTTAATATACTTATCTATCGATAGAAATAGTGAGAGACGATTGGAGAGACATTTTCTCATGGGAATATCATTGTTAAAAGATCTGAAGAAAAAGGTCTCTCTGTAAACAAGAACTCTTCGAATTACAAATCTCTAATACATTATAAGAATAAGGGGAAGATTTTAATATCCTTATCTATCGATAGAAATAGTGAGAGGCCTTTGGAGAGATATTTTCTCATAGGAGCTTCGTTATTAAAGGATCTGAAGGGAGATCTCACTCCCTAAACGAGATCTCTTCGAATTACAAATCTCTAATACACTATAAGGAGTAGGGGATGATTTTGATATCCTTATCTATCGATAGAAATAGTGAGAGGCCTTTGGAGAGATATTTTCTCATGGGAGTTTCGTTATTAAAGGAAGAGAAATGGCTATAATTCCCTAAGGAAGAAAAACTGAAGAGAAATCTCTCTCTCTCTCTCTCTCTCTCTAAACGAGATCTCTTCGATTTACAAATATCTAATACTCTATAAGAAGTAGGGAAATGTTCAAGACAGGAAATTTTTCGAAAAGAGAGGAATCTCTTTAAAAAAAAATTGAGAAGGAGTGAAAGTCCTTTTGGTTCCATATAAAATATAGAAAGAACAATGAAAAAAGAAATATTTGAGGAGAAATGAAAGAGAAATTGAATTGTCCATAGAAAGAAAAATCATTCAGAGAATTCTTTGAAAAGGGAGGGAGTTTCTTTTTCCGATATTTCTATAAAACAGAGACCTCTTTCATAAAAAAAGAAACTATTAAGACAATTATTTGAAAAAAAAAATAGATAAATTATCCAGAGAATATTAAACCACAAACCTAAACCACAAGGTGGCCAGGGTATTATGACTTTGTGCATTTGTTTGTAACAGGTAAAGGAAACGAGATAGACCCATAGTTCCTTTTGATGATCTGCATAGAATCACATTCTGAGTCGATTTATGCATGTCCGTCCGTCCATGTATTTTTGTAAACAAAGTACAGTTCGCATTTATTGCCCTATCCAGATGAAATTTTGCACAAATCATTTGTTTGGCCCAAGGACGAAACCTATTGAAATTGGAGATAATCGGTCAAATTTTAGATATAGCTTCCATATATATCTTCGTCCGATTTGCCTTCAATTGTGCACCAAACGTGTAATATCAGTCCGAATAGTATGGAATTTTGCACGTACGATCAGATTGGAAATAAGTATGCCAAATTTGATCGAAATCGGTTTAGATATAGCTATAGCTCCCATATATATTGTTCATCCGATTTGTTATTTTAGTCCTCCGCAGCCGTAATATGCACTCTGTGACAACAATATTTGGGGAAATATATCAAATACAGCTCAGAAATACCTTTACTAAATTTTATTGGGATCGGTTCGGATTTGGATATAATCTCCCATATATAACTTCATCCGATTTACCTTTTATTGTGCACCAAACTTCTAATATTTGTCCAAATGGTATGGAAGTTGGCACTTACGACCGATTTGAGTCTAGAAGCTAGTATGTCAAATTTGGTGAAGATCGGTTCAGATATAGCTATAGCTCCCATATATATTGTTCATCCGATTTGTTATTTTAGTCCTCCGCAGCCGTAATATGCACTCTGTGACAACAATATTTGGGGAAATATATCAAATACAGTTCAGAAATACCTTTGCTAAATTTTATCGAGATCGGTTCGGATTTGGATATAATCTCCCATACATAACTTCATCCGATTTACTTTTTATTGTCCACCAAACGTCTAATATTTGTCCAAATGGTAGGGAAGTTGGCACTTACGACCGAATTGTGTCTAGAAGCTAGTATGTCAAATTTGGTGAAGATCGGTTCAGATATAGCTATAGCTCCCATAAATACTGTTCATCCGATTTGTTATTTTAGTCCTCCGCAGCCGTAATATGCACTCTGTGACAACAATATTTGGGGAAATATATCAAATACAGTTCAGAAATACCTTTGCTAAATTTTATCGATATCGGTTCGGATTTGGATATAATCTCCCATACATAACTTCATCCGATTTACTTTTTATTGTCCACCAAACGTCTAATATTTGTCCAAATGGTATGGAAGTTGGCACTTACGACCGAATTGTGTCTAGAAGCTAGTATGTCAAATTTGGTGAAAATTGCTTCAGATATAGCTATAGCTCCCATAAATACTGTTCATCCGATTTGTTATTTTAGTCCTCCGCAGCCGTAATATGCACTCTGTGACAACAATATTTGGGGAAATATATCAAATACAGTTCAGAAATACCTTTGCTAAATTTTATCGATATCGGTTCAGATTTGGATATAGCTCTCATATATAACTTCGTCCGATTTCAAATTAATTGTGCACCAAATGGGCAATACAAGTCCGAATTCAAAAGATGCAAATGCTTCGGCATATTTTGTCCTTTGAACTTAAATTATAATAATAACTATAATCATAGCGTGTATGATTGAATTCCCCCATGAAATCTTTTAATTGATATGCGGAGCTCTACTAAATTAGCAATGTGGTGTAGGGTATCATAAAATCGGCGCCGCCCGACTTTAAGACTTTCTTTACTGGTTAGTGAACATAAGATCATCATAAATGTGTATAGGAAAATGTTTAGGGAATATAACACTTTTCTCATGAGTATGAGACTTTTTCGAATAAGTATAAACCCGTTTCTAAGGGTATATGTATATAAGTTAATATTTAATGAGAATTATATGATTCTAGTTGATTAAAACCATAGATTTTAGGTATAAGACTGAGTATAAATTCGTGATAAGGTCATTTAAGGGAGTATAAGATCTTTAGGAATGAGTATAAGACACTTTTTAAAAATTTATTGAGCTTAGGGCCATTTTAAGTGAATATAAGACCATCATAAATGGCCGTAGGAAAATTTTAGAGAATATAACCATGAGTCTCATGAGTATAAGACTTCTTTGAATAAGTATACACCCGCTTTGAAGGATATACAATCTTGATTTAGCACTAAATACAAGTCCTTTTTTCATTGAGTATAGGGTATTTTTTTAAATATTTTAAAACCAATTTAGTGAGTATAAGACATTATGGAGCAATATAAGATTATTTAAAGGTGTGTGTTAGTGATTTTTAGAAGATATAAGACCATTTTTAATGAATATAAGCTCATTGTAGTGGAAGGCAAAAATTAAAAGACTATTTTGAATGAGTATAAGACTTTTTTGAAAGAGTATAAGACTATTGCAAGATCAGTTTACAGCACTATAATACCATTTTAGGTGCTCAATATAATTATTAATGACTGTGAGTACATATAAAATGGTTTAAAGATAATTTTTAAGAAGTATAAGACTTTTTATGTCTTAGGGAATTTATGTTGCTTGGGTGTATAAGACAGGTGATTCGGATTTCTCAGCAAATGTATTCCATTATTAATGAGCAAATTTGGTTTTTCAAACATCCTACTCTACCTCTCTCTTTTTTTTCCTCTCTTTAAAGTGACGTGCCCAAAATATAAGAGTTTTTAGGGAGACCATAGTATATTTCGAGGTGTTACAAACGGAATGACAAACTTATGGTGGAGGGTAAAAAAAATTAAAATAGGAAGAAATAAGGTTTCTCCTTGACTTTTAATGAAGGGGGCAGATTTTTATTACTTTTCTAAGAGCTATCCCGGAGCTATTTCTTTTTGATTCCCAATGTTTTCCCCTTAGGTACCCAATTAAGTTTTGTTTCCAGTATTTCATTTTGTATTGAATTACAAACTTGTCCACCCTCCTCCCCCCAATCAGAATACAAAATATCCTTGTGTCACCAAAAACTCTCTCTCTCTCTCTCTCTCTCTTGCTCTCTCCAAGAAAAGCATGCTGTTTGATTAATGAATGTTTGCTTATTTCGGTGTCTGTGTTAATATTGGATGATGAGTATGATTTTTGAGTTTTTAAATATTTTCATTTTTTTTTCGAAATGTTAGATTTTTTTTAAACTCTTGAACTATTGCTTGGCCAGCTTAGTTTTAGTTTTCTTGAATAATTTTCTTTCCGTTTCATTTTTTTCTCTTACTACAGCACAGTTGTATTTTTCAGTTTCCCTTTCTAGTTAAGATTTTTTTGTCGTTCGAAAGAATGTTGTTCAAGCCTTGTCCTATTTGGTGTAGGTGTGTGTGCGTATGTATGTTCTTGGCAAACAGCATGAGTTTGTGGGAATGTTTGAGAACCTGGCAAATAACAAAACAAAAAACCAAGAAACAAACACACCTCAAGGATCAAATCCATAGCGATCCTCAAAAAATAAGGATTTGAAATTTTAGGATATCTCGTGAATACAATTTTTGCGTTTTGTTTTGAAATAGAAAATT